CAACTTATGCATGTTCAACTTATTAAAGGTAACCGGATCTTATATATATGATTTATAATACCAAATATGACCTATTTGCTATTTTTGTTGGTAATTACATGGTGAATTCAACATGTAGCACTAAGTGTAGATTGTTCGTTCTACTCGATTGCATCAATTTATTGCTCAATTTATTTATATTATTGTCAGTAAAGCAAAATGCAGAATGCCATTGTTATGATGTAATATTTTGTATATAATTAATTGCTTCCTCTAATAACCATATGGTTGTTAATTTCCATAGTTCATATTATTGTAAATAATATTAAATCTCATAGAACCGTAAATCACATATAAACGTATTAAAGCTCTAGATATATCAAAGTAGCGCAATCCTTTTATCTGAGTCGAAATGCCGACAATCTTCCTATTGGCTATTTCGACCGCCATTTTGGACCTAGTGGCCTGTAGACCAATAAGTGCTTAGTATTATTGGTATATGATATGATTAATAAGTCGAAAATGGAAGACCTTTGCGTTACTTTAGTATATCTACATTTAGACCGTATATGTGAGAAACACAACCTATAGAAAATAAATGCCTTAAACGCAAATTTTACTCAACTGCTACAGAAATATCACGAGTTAAATTGACTAGCAATTTAACAATTAATGCTTTTACGTATTTTAAAACGATCTTAATAATGCTGCATGATATATTCGTTTTAAGATGCGTAAGAGCATCAACTTGTTAAACTGCTGATCAATTTAACTTGTGATATTACAGCGATAGTTTAACAAAGTTTGCGTTTTAAAACCGAAAAATCATTTCGGCGTGCATTTTAAAGGACTACATACATAGTAGATACATAAATTCAATCAGAATTATACAAGCACTTAAGATCCAGCTAGACCGTTTAAGGCATTTATTTTTGATAGTTATATTATTTTAGCATTGTATAATATTTACAACACAGTATTTAGTTTATATTTTTATTATAGTCATAATTTTGTTTATAACCAAAGAAAAGAAATTTGTTATACGGTAGAACTATATGATTCAACCTAGACATTCTAAGGCCCGGTTTTTCATTATCAAGTTAACTTGTAGTTATGCTTAACCTGATATTTCACTCAATGAACTCCATTCATGACTCCATTCATCATCATAGATAAAATCCATTGGATAAGACATCAGATTGAACCTAACCACAAGTTCAATATAATTCTTATGCAATTTCAAGATATGTATTTTGAGATTTTTCAGGGACAATCTCTTTTATTTACAATAAAAACTGTAGAAAAAATAAATCAAACGAACTTTAAGAAAAATATGTTTTCAAGAACGAGCAGAATTCTTGAATGAAGTAAATAAATCATGATCAATAAGAGTGTGTGATTTTGGACAAATTTTCCATATGGGTTTCACATAATTCCAAGATATTTCGCAATTTTTTAGGGATTTCTTTCAATATAGAAACTACAGAAAAAATGAATCAAACGAATTCAAAGAAACATGTTTTTTTAGAAATAAGTGAAATTCTTGGATAATGTAAATAATAATACAGGACCACAAAATAAAAAAAGCATATTTTTCTGGAAGGAAGACCAATTGCTTCCTACATATATATTCTGACATGCTGAAACAGAATCTGTTTCGCGAAAATTTGTATCTCGTTACATTTATGAGATACACATAGTAAGAAGGTCCAAAATCACACAATTCACAAATAAAATAACGCAGATTATAAATTCTTATCTACGTAGAACCACAATCATGGACAATAAACCAATCAAATCAAGTTACTTGAACCCTCGATCTTTAAACCCTAAATCCATACACTCCAAACTTATATATCCTTGAAGACAAGATCTTGAAATCGTTGAATGGTTAGTAAAGGCAAGATCTCGAAATGATTCGACCAGTGAAAACAAGATTTCGAAATGATCCGGATAGTGTAGCTTTATGATTAAGAAGTATCAGATACTAGCAAATAGTAAAATCAAAAGTAACTTAATGAAACAACGTCTAATCGCTTATAAATATCTAGGAAAAATACGAAAATATTTTATCTCAAGAATAAGGAAAGCTTTACTGCTCGAACTGTGGAACACGAATGAAACGGATTCACTGAGATCGTCGAGAATAAACATAAAAACAACTGAACGCAGCGCAGGCGCAGTTCACCACAAGTGGCAGTCTTTGTTTTCTATTTTACAAGTTTTAATTAATTTTTACCTTTTTTCCTGTTTTTTAAAATAAATTCATTAAAAAACAGGATTATATTCTCTGGGATCACAAACGTAAAAGAGATTGTAAAAAAAGCCTCTTTTTTTGAAGGTCAAATATCTCACGGAAAATGATGGCATATGTATAGTACACACACACACACACACACACACGCGCGCGCGC